ATCGTCCATAGCGCCTAACCCGACCGGCTTGCCTGCCTTCTTCTTCCACTGGCCTCGCTCCACTGATTGCCCCTATGCCCACATCTACCCATTACGAAAAATCAGTCGGACGAGAAGAGGAGAAGAGAAGAATATACCTGTCGCATAAAGTAGCCGCGTCGTTAACTAGCGTGTCTCCCCTTCAGTGCGAGCCGCTGCCTTTCCTTCTAACGTCGATAATCGGTCGAAAAAAGAAGAGATTCGCGGAGAAATCTTCGACAATTCTTCGTCCTCTCTTTCCTTTCTTTTTTTCCTCCACTCGAATGAATCGTCTATCGTATATTCCTCGCTACATTTATCGCGTATAATTCGTTAAATATTACTTAAATATTAAATATTATGTTTCATACGTAATATCTTGCATCGATAAAAATAGGGAATATACATCGAAAATTTGTCAAGATTTTTACTATTCACTGTTGGAAAGAAAGAAATGCGGGTCTGATTGATTAATATGGGAAGAAACGTCTATTTTCACACATATTTGTCACATATATTAATTCAATTGTGACAGAGAGAAACAATAAAACGACGATCTATATCTAAACCTCAATGCCATTAGTCTATGCATAGGCATAGACTATTCAGACTATTCTAACGTATCGATATAAAATTTTTTTATTTCTCGTAATATATACAGGCTAATTATGATTTGTAACAATAGTTTAATTTATAAATATTAACGTAAGTTCATTCAATGAAAATAATTTTTACAATTTTCAATATTCAAATTATAATTTTCCTATTGTGTATAGTGTCAGAATTAACAAAGTCTAAAAAAGTTGGCAATCGTCCAGAGAACCTCTCTTGCCCCTGTGTCGTCCCGCGAGACTTTTTTTCACCAGTGAACAGTACGTAGAAACTTCTCGTACTGTGGTAAAGAAAGAGAGAAAGAGAAATGTTAAAATACGGAAAGTTCGCCGCGTCCCCTAATACGAACGTTACGAGATCGAGAGGAGATAACGGCTCGCCTCATTCCTCTTTCTCTTTCTTTCCCATTATTTCTAACGGATGACTCTCGATTCGAAATAGGAGCACGTGCCTCGGTTCTCCGTCATTTCGAAATGAAATGTCCTCGAATGTGTGGAGCCGTGAGGATCAAAAGATGCAACCTGCGTTTATAGCCGGACAGGAGGAAAAGGAGGGAAGCAGGTTGGCAGGCAAGCGAGGTATGTACGTACGACCCGCATGATCGAAATGAAGAAATAGCGCCGCGAGAGAGAAGAGGAAAGAAGAGAGGGAACGACGTTAAAGAGACTCGGCTGCATCGATCGGCAGTACTAACCCAGTGAACGTGACACCCAACCGCTGCTGCTCAAGCATGCAAGGCTGCGTTCAAGTGTCCGCTCACTTTTTATCCAAGACCGGTCTATCGACGATGTCTAGCGCGAGTCTATCGTCCTCGTCAATTCCCTTTCTCGCATTATCGCATAGCGGGACGCGTGGAAGAAAATAACGGGAGGAAGAGGGGGAATTTCTTTCCTTTTTCGCGTTCGATATTATTAACTCGATTTCGATTGCGTTCAACTTTGCAAATAAATTTGATCGCATTTCAAAAGAAGGGACGGCGTTATTTCGATCGCGATCTTCTTTCGAGCGGTAACGCGACATTATACCGCGCTACCCGTATAAAATTGTTATTTTATGATTGATGAAAGATCGCGTTTGCCATTAAAAATGGAGCGATATTCGTAATCATAAACGTACGTTTTTATTGAAAACGATCGATCGGAATGATTCTTTCCCCTTAAATCGAATCGGTGTATTATTACGATTGTAGAAACTCGTCGAAATTATCCGATTAAACGAGCAACCTTGGAATTATAAATATACAATTCCATAAAACTATGTTTAGGAGAAACGGGACATAACACATGCGAGTGGTATATGAATATAAATAGATGGAGATTTTTTAGATATATTTCCCCCTCGTAATCGCATATTTCTCTCTCTCTCTCTCTTTTTACGTTCCATGAGTCAGCGTGGAGGGTAGAGAGCGCATTACGACACAGGCACGTATGAAACAAACGTGGAGGACGAAAAGAGGGTGATTAGGACAGATTGGCGCCCAGTTCTGATTATGTCTCGCATCACCTGCCCCTTTGCAGGTGGTTGCCTATCCCACGAATATTTATCCTCGTGCTCGATCGATAACCGACCACCGACCAGCCGCTCAACAACCCCGTCCAAGATAGCGGTTCGATACGTACACCCCCGTAATCACTTGTACGCTCTTTTTTGATCGCCGACGATAGTCCCGCTTCCGTTCCAACAAACGTTGCAAACGTTCGTAAAAAAAAAAAAAAAATCGACGACGCACATTGCGTACGTTCGAAACTTTTTAACCAGTTTGAAGATTGGAATAGAACTAGATCCATAAACTCTCGATTAAATTCTCGATTATCGGAAGCCTTGTATCGTTTCAGCTTGTTTGATCTGGTTTTATCACTGACCATAGTTATGCCACAGTCGAGCCGTATGCCGGAACATATTTTTTTTTTCCATCCACCCTCGCTTTCCCGACAATCACTTACATGCGGGAGTCTGCACCTGGCCACCCCCGCACACACTCTTACTCCTTTGGCCACCTTACCTCTATTCTATCCGTACTCGTGCATATGCTCAGTATCGTAACTAATTTCTATTATACATTTTTCTGTACCGAATTTTATGATTATTAATTTAAAAAAAAAATTAATTATACGTATATACATATATACATACTAATTTCTAACTAATTTCTATTATACATTTTTTCGTACCGAATTTTATGATTATTAATTTAAAAAAAAAATTAATTATACGTATATATATATATATATATATATACACTTCTTATAACAAAGACATTGTAAAAACACCTTGTGTTTGGAAACGCTTCTGTATAAACACGAGAGAGAAGTCGTTTCATTTGTGAAAGGATACGTAAACAAAGCTAAACGACTGACTGAATTACGTCTCGACCTATAACACAATGGTATATACTTCTCGACTGTACTTCGAACAGTCCTCGCTCGTCCCACAACGGCTATTTAAACGACGCATCCATCGTTCGATCGGATTCCGATTCGTCAAAGAATTCATCAAGGATTGCGATCCGTCGGCCGAGAGACGAAAGAGACGAAAGGAAGAGGATGGGTTGGTGAATGAAACTGCTGAGTTTAACGTCCAAGGGCTACACGAGAGGGCTATGAGAGGTCAGCCGCGAGCAAACCGCGGGGCATCATGGTGGCTCGATACGCGTCTGCCCGTGCGCCGCGCGCAGCCTGCCAGAGAACAACACAGAGAAGAAGAAACGTTGTTGGCCGCCGCCACCACAATCGCCGCTTCCCAAACAGAAAAATTCAAAGTAACGATCGCGGCAGATGCGAGCACCCATACGTGAATTTGCTTCCCAACCCTTTTCTCCAACAACGGATAACGAAATAATAATCGTCAATAATGGTGCTTCCATTTCTTCCAGGCCTTTCACCCCCTTTTTCCATCGATTCGTTCGAAAACAGCCTCTGGAAATCATCCCTTTTCCGGTCTGCCTTGTCCTTCTTCGACGCGCACACACACATACACACTCGAGTGTTTATTTGAATAAGACATCTAGATGATGACGGGGCAGCAGCTGCGAGAGGAGCTTTTTTCCACTTTTCCACAGATTTTTGCATGGCGCAGGTGATGCGGGCACGCGACCATCCCTTTCCCTTCTCTTCCCCGTCCTCGACCACCGCCATCCGTACCCGCACAAACCCTTTCGAGGGAACTGTCCGCCGTGAATCATTGGAGGATCTCGATTCGAGGCGAGGAAAAGGATCCATAGGGGAAAGAGGGACGAAGAGCGGTAACAGATGCTTTTTCCGATGAAGAACCACGCTACCACCAACCGTGCACACGTCAAAACAGGATAATCCTTACCTTTTCCTTCGTATCCTTTCGTTCTTTGAATCGTATTCGATGATTCACATTCGCGAAAAATTTAAAACCGCCCTCCTCCCCCCTTACGTTTTCTCCTTCGTAACGTACGAAAGCGGAGAACGTATGGTAACGATATCGCGACGAGGCATTTTATTCCCACGCATTTTGGTTGCGTGGCACGGTCTGGCACGCAAAACAAAGGCCCACAACAACCCTCGATCGTTGCCCTAATAACGGTAACGTGTATACCCTTTTAATCGAGGAAAAAAAACTCCCTTAAATCGCGCCACGTAATTGGCAGGGTCGGGCAATAACGACGACAAAACGGCCACGATATCGCCTACGCCATATGCCGCTCGCGAGAACGAATTCCTCGCTCTCCCACGAAGCGACGATTCGCCAACGGTCGAAGATCTCCTCTAATTTACGTTTGAATCTCTTCTAAGAATAAACTAAGAGAGAGAGAGAGAGAGAGAGAGAGATGGAGAGGAGGATGGAGGAAGTTGGCTCGCCTCGAAAAAAAACATTAGCTAGGAAAGAAAGTAAAATCTAAAAAGGATAGGAAATACTGTAGGGCTATAAACGGGTGTCTGACCGCGCCAGCCACATGTCATCAAGATGCCTACACGCGTGAAGAAATGCGAAATGCATTGGCTATCGGTTGGCGGGAGCAAAGAATAATAGGGTGGTGGCCAGAAACGAAGATACGAAGGGAGCGAAGGTGCTGCTGCCAGGCTCGAATGCTTGAGGAAAAAGAAGACGAGCGAGGTAAGTACCTATTGGGTAACATTTACGCCGTTTACGACACGTTTCTGCCTGCGTACGGACGAAACGTGTGCACACTTGCGAAGGTAAGAAACACAGTGTCGAAGCACAAATCGAAGAGTTAAAATC